CCAGTTTTGTTAGTAATTGCTTCTTGCATGTGTGAAGACTTCTCAGACAGAAAGCACATTCCATGGGTATGAGGGCCATTTTAGACTATTTTCTTTCCTCCATATTACTGTGACTTGCTTTGTCTTTTTGGCATTCTGGGGAAGTGACAATAATGGAATGTATGAGTCATTAACTGGAAGCTGAGAAGTCATGACTTTGTATAATTTGCTCTCTAGTCATCCCATTCTATTACATTTTTTTTTGACATGATCTCTAACTTCTTTATCATCCTTATTCATTGTTCATAACTCTTTTCTCCATATACCTTGTAGAAAATATGGTTCGTGTTTTTTCAACTTGAGGTCTGTCGAGAAAATAATAAGACTTTGGGGCTTTGACTTCATCCTGGAATTTAGTGTTTCTTTTTAAACATTTGATTCCTTCTTTGTTAGCTTTAGGAGGAAAGGGAAAAATATGAAGTCCTACCCCTATCCCTACCCTAACCCTAACCCTAACCCAAGGAAACAGAAATCTATCCATGTTAGACCAAGTATATGAATAGCCTTGCACAATCCAGAGTGACTTCCAGGAAACAGGAGGGTAGAGAGTTGTAACCAGAGGATGTTACTGAGTTTAGGTTGGCAGTTGGGTTGAAGATATTCAGAGAATTCACCCACGTTAATTATAGCCTCATGATTTAATTAAGTCCTCTTATGAGACTTTCTATTTTCTTCTTCCACAAAACACCTTCCCTCTGCCATTATACCCTGGACCAATTTGCTTGGCTTAGGTGGTGAGTGGCACTGAAGAGGTGGGGAATGGAACACAGGACAACTGTGCTGCTTGTGCCTGTCCTATCTGCAGCATTCCTCCCCTTGTAAGCATCTTCTTCACCTATGCTGGATGGTGCTGATGTTTTGGCAAAGACTTTGTTATTTACAGGAAAAAAAAAGTTTTGTTAGTGGAAGCATTTTATTTTTAAGAAAGTGTTGATTGGGAGAAAATGTTGTCTCTGGAAATTGTAAGCAGTAAATTGATTTAGTTCAAATTATTTTAGAAACAGCAGAGCAGCTGTTGAAAGAAAAAGAAAACTCTTCCAATAATTGCTCAATGAATCATTAGCTCGAGTTCATCCAGAGAGCAGTACCTCTTTTGTGCAGAATTCCTACAAAACTAGTCTCCTTTTGTGTTTCTTGTCTGAAGATTTATAGGCCATAAGGTGTGTTTGCTGCCTTTGAATGTGCAGGGAAATGTTATGATTTCAAGAACCTTATAAAGGTTTTCTCTGATCACAGATAACTTTTACTCAGTGTAATTAAGAATTATATGTGGTCTCAAAGTACATAATAAGCAAATAATGCTATTTGGGAAATAGGTACACAAAAATATCTAGTACTTCTGTCGTATTTTGTTTTGCAACATGCTGGACACGAGGATAAGGAAAACAATAAATATATTCAGCTCTCCCCTGTTTTCTCTGTGTGAGGGGAAAAGAAGTATGATTGGTGGGTAAGGTAGGTCATTTTCTTTTCTTTTATTTCTTTTACTTTTTGTAGTTGATATATAATAGTTGTACATATTTTTTGGGTATTTGTGATATTTTTATACCTGTATACAATGTGTAATGATCAAATCAGAGTAACTGGGATATCCATGACTTCCTCAAACTTTTAACTTTTTTTGGGTTGGAAACATTACATATCTTTTGGTTTTGAAATACATAAATAAGTGCACTTGTGAATGCATTCTAACATAAACACTTACTGCTTTTATAACCTAGTTCTTGAACACTCGTTGGATTGATCTAACTGACATTTTCTTCAATTTCATTTTTTTCATTGAATAGACTTATTTCAGGATAGTGTGCTTCAAAGTGAATTATTTTCATAATGCTTCTATTATAAAGCTAGAGCTGGATTCCAATCAGAAGAAACATTAATCAAGGTTCCATTGCAGACAGCAGAATCTACTCCAGTCATTTTAAAAAGAAAGTGAATGTTGCAGGGATTGAAGACTACTAAATAATTGAATAATTGAAAGACCCGTAGGAGTATACACTTCCAGGAATAATTTCCAGAGCCACTCCACAAAACCTCTACTGCCGCACAGCTCCTAGGCTTGAGAACTTAGGGCTGTGTGGTGCCACCTCAGATGCTGCAGCACCTCTGAACTGACTGGACCCTGGTGTCTCCACCATGGCTGCTGCAGAACAGTTGAAGAGCCTCTGCCACCTCAGAGTCATAGTATGTGTATTTGTTTATCAGAAGTTCAGTCCCTTGTAGAGGTAGCCCCTTCAAGGAATTCTGAGATATGTAGTTTTCTACCTTCTCACCTCTAATGTAGTACAGGGGGTTGTGCTAGAGGGGGTTGGAATAGTAACTAATCCAATTGGCACTCTCTGCCATACAGAGCAGATATTTTCTTCTTAGAAGAAGGTTAAGATGGTTGCTTTCCCATGGCATTTTTGCTGTGTAGCTTTTCTGAATGCCAATGTTTCATTTTGTTAACCATGGATTCACTTCTTTTAGTTGACAATCTCTAGGACTTTTTTCTTTCTTTTCTTTTTACTGGGGCTGAAATCTTGAAGACCTCAACTCTCTCATATTTTACCTATGGGTCACTCTGTTTCAGGATGTACAGCTTAAAAACTCCTGGTTTGTTTTTCTGTGTCTATCAAAGTAAAATAGAGTTTGTTGTGTGTTTGCTTATTTTAAAAACAGGGACATAGTACTTAATAAATGCCAGGCAGTATTCCAAGTGTTTGCCATATTTTAATTTATATAATTATTATAATTAAATTATAAAATAGGTCCTCTATTATAATTGCAATCTATTTTGTCCATGTCTCAAGAATGAGTAATTGATAGAGAGTAGGCCTTGAGTTGGTGATGATAATCTGTAGGACAGATTATCCACTAGAATTATTCTATGAATGTACATTCTGTAACTGAGTTTATAAAGGTATCCAAGGGTAGGTGGCTCAGCCTGTAATCCCAGCGCTTTGGGAGGCCGAGGTGAGTGGATTTCCTGAGTCCGCAGGTTCGAGAACCCCCTGGGCACCTTGGCGAGACCTTATCTCTACAATAAACAAAAAATTAGCTGGGCATGGTAGCGCATGCGTGTAGTTCCAGCTACCTGAAAGGCTGAGGAGGAAGGATCGCTGAAGCCCAGCAGGTCGAGGCTGCGGTGGCCGGGAGTGTGCCACTGTCTCCAGTCTGGGCGATGGAGTGAGACTCTGACTCAAAAAAAAAAAAAAAAATAAATAAATAAATAAATAGATGAGCATACTCATAATTTGAAAGGAGTTGAGGTTTAAAAAAAAACAAGTGGCACAAAGTAAAGCATGACTCAGTCTTGGCTGGTGGTTGACAAAGACTGAGAAGCACATGGGACTAGCAGGTACTACTGCTTAGCGACTACTATGTGCTGGGCACTGTCCTAAACTTTTAACATACATATGCTGTTATTTAAACCTCAAAAAGTTCTATAAGTATTACTGTCATATAAAGAAACAGACTAGAATTGTTAAGTATTATGCTCAAGGTTATCACAGCCAGTAGATCTGGGATCCAGACTCAAATCAAGCCTTTAGTCTAAGCTGCTAGGTTGGCTACTTCTGTGTTTATTGTCTGATATGAATCAAGATCAATTTTATCTGCAGTTTACCTTCTGAAACAAAAAGTTTAATTACGTGTAACTGGTATGAAATCCAGTTACACATAATTACCTGAGGCCCTCAATCCTCGGGTACAAAAACAGCAACAACAACAACATTATCCTCTAAATCCAGTTAAGTGGGACTCCAAGTTCTACTTGCAGAGATTGATGTTGGATTCAATATCAGTAGTCATTGTGGGATTCCCTTGCCACCGACACATTTTGGTTCAAGGCCTCAAGTCCTCACTTGAGTGGTGCTGAGCTGCTCTTCGATCAATCCTGCATTGCTCATTTCAGGGTGGCCAGTCACTGGGGGGTTTTCCCCGTGCTCACTTGACCACTGTGATCTTCTCTGGAGCTCCCGAAGCTGTGGCTTTTAGGTGCTGGTTCCAGGTATCTGCATCTGTCAGAAGTTTCCACCTCTCCTGTTAGGGAGCTTCGCAGATATGGAAACTGACACTGATGCAGACTCAGAGTGCTATGTGGACACAGAGCCTCTTGGGGGGAAGAGAATTATACCTTTCATTCTTTTATTGTATGTTTATATAAAATTAGTTAATTTCTCTATTAAATTATCCTCTGCCTGTAGACAAGCTTTAGCACAACTGACTTCAAGCAGTTTCATTAGTGTTCAGCTTATATTTCTCTTTTTTTTTTTTTGAGTTGGAGTCTCACTCTGTTACCCAGACTGGAGTGCAGTGGCACGCTCCTGGCCACCACAGCCTCGACCTGCTGGGCTCCGGCAATCCTTCTGCCTCAGCCTTCCAAGTAGCTGGACTACAGGTGTGCGCTACCACGCCCGGCTAATTTTTGATTTATTGTAGAGATGTGGTCTCGCCAAGTTGCCCAGGCGGGTCTCAAACCCGTGGGCTCAGGCAATCCACTCACCTCAGCCTTCCAAAGCGCTGGGATTACAGGCTGAGCCACCGAGCCCGGCTTACATTTCTCTTGTCAGGGAAAGCACCTAGGCGTCTAAACTGAGATAACCTCCATTCATTATTCCTACTATCTATGTGACCTTGGGTAAATGAATTCCTTAAGCTTCTGTTTCACCTTTTACAAAATGGAGATAATAGTTTCTATGCCATAGAGGGTCCTGAAAAATGAGCTTTAACAAAGACACTGACTTGTAGTGAGCACGAGGTGTATTTGGGAAATGGCGATGAGACCAGTTAGCTGGAGGAAGAGAACAGGGTGTCTGAGGGAGAGGCTAAAAGTGCGTAAATGCTGTTTTACAGAGTTTGGATTCATATGGGCCTTCTTTTTGGTTGTTTTATTAACTGGAATTTATCATATACTAAACTGGAGTACTCAGTCTTGTACTAAAAATCCCTCTGATAAACTTCTGTTTTGACTTGTATAGGACCCGACTGACTTTGAGTGGAGCTTCTGGATCGAATGGGGAAAGCAGTGGCTGGCATGGCTTCTCCTTGGCCATGTGGCAGTGTCTCAAATGGCCACACTGCTTGCAAGGAAGGTATGACTATGTGTGCTGTTGTTTTTTTGTCTTTCTTCTTTGCTTTTTGTGAAGAAAGAGTCCTGAGCTAGGAATCAGAAGACATGGATAATAGCCTTGGGAGCTAAGAAAAAATAAGAAAAAGTTGTTAATGCTCAATACAACATTTAAGATAAAGGTTTGAATTAGAGAACACAAGGTTGTTCAAGTGGCTATTTGAAAAGTGCTTTTATTGGGGGCAGAATTACTGGTTTAGCTACCAAGGGACTCAGGATAATTATAGGAGGATATTCCTGTCATCTAGGAGTCATCATCCTCTGATAAATATTTCTTGCCTGCTGTAGATTTCTGTGTTAAAAAAAAAAATGAGTCTGCTTGGAAATCTACCAAGTAAAAATAAGACACAGCCATTTAATTCTGCCCTCGTGACCCAAACACCTCTTAAAGGCTCTACCTTTCAATGCTGCCACACTGGGGATTATACATGTGTTCTGGAGAGGACAAAAATTCAAACCATAACAGTTGTCCTTTGTAAAATAGAGTTGATAAGATAGTATTTTTTTTTTTTTTTTGAGTTGGAGTCTCACTCTGTTGCCCAGACTGGAGTGTAGTGGCTGCTCCCGGCCACCACAGCCTCGACCTGCTGGGCTCCAGCGATCCTTCCGCCTCAGCCTTCCAAGTAGCCGGAATTACAGGCATGCGCTACCACGCCTGGCTAATTTTGTTGATTTATTGCAGAGACGAGGTCTCGCTGCCCAGGTGGGTCTCGAACCTGTGGGCACAGGCAATCCACTTACCTCAGCCTCCCAAAGGCGCAGGATTACAGGCTGAGCCACCGAGCCCGGCAAGATAGTATTTTTTTAACCCCTTAAAATGTGATGAGCTTCATTTGTTAGAAATTTTATCATTAAAAGTAAAGATGGCAGGCCAGGCACAGTGGCTCATGCCTATAATCCCAACACTTTGGGAGGCTGAGATGAGATGATTGCCTGAGCCCACAAATTCGAGACCAGCCTGGGCAACTTGGTAAGACCTTGCCTCTACAATCAATTAAAAAATAAGCCAGGTGTGGTAGTGCGTGGTTGTAGTTTCAGCTACTTGGAAGGCTGAGGCAGAAGGATCCTGAGCCCAGCAGGTCGAGGCTGTGGTGGCCATGAGTGTGCCACTGCACTCCAGCCTGGGCGACAAAGTGAGACTCCCGATCAAAAAAAAAAAAAAGTAAAGACAGACTGGGTGCAGTGGCTCTTGCCTGCAATCCCAGTGCTTTGAGAGGCGGAGGCGAGAGGATTTCCTGAGTCCCGGGGGTTTGAGACCAGCCTGTGCAACTTGGCTAGACCTCATCTCTACAATAAATCAAAAAATTAGCTGGGTGTGGTGGAGCATGACTGTAGTTCCAGCTACTTGGAAGGCTGAGGTGGAAGGACCACCTGAGCCCAGCAGGCCGAGGCTGTAGTAGCCATGAGTATGCCACTGTACTCCAACCTGGGTGACAGAGTGAGACTCCTACTAAAAAAAAAAAAGTAAAGACGAAACATGGAGAAAGTGGGACAAAGAGAAAACAACAAAAGAAACAGTGGAAGTAATATAAATGGATTCTCAAAAAAGATGAAGATTATCAGACTAGATTTAAAAAATAAGGAGAAATAAAGGAAAACAAAACCAAAACAGAATCCAGAGATGTGCTTCTTAGCTAAATTCACTTAAAACAGATGAACATGAAGTTTGAAAGTAAAAAGTGGAGAGAGATATTTCAGGCAAATATAAACTCTCCCTTTCCCCAACAAAACACTGGAGCAATTTTACTTATAGTTGGCAAAGAGCATTACTATTGACAAAGAAGAGTATCACTTAATAATAAAGAGTTCTGGCTGAGCTCAGTGGCTCAACCTGTAATCCCAGTACTTTGGGAGGCCGAGGCGAGTGGATTGCCTGAGCCTGTGAGTTCAAGACCAGCCCAGGCAACCTGGTGAGACCTTGTCTCTACAATAAAATTAAAAAATAGCCAGGCGTGGTAGCGCACGTCTGTAGTTTCGGCTACTCAGAAGACTGAAGTGGAAGGATCGCTGGAACCCAGCAGGTTGACGCTGGGGTGGCTGTGAGCGTGCGTTCCACTGTACTCCAGCCTGGGTGAAGGAGTGAGACTCCAACTCAAAAATAAAAAATACAAACATTAAAAAAAAGAGTTCTTTTCTCATTAAGAAGATCTTATACTTTTGAATTTGTTTGCTTCAAAATATATAAAGCAAAAGTTGATCAGAACCATAAAGGTAAAAAGATAAATCTATGATTGTAGGGAGTGATTTTAATATAACTCCATTAATAATTGATTTATCATGGAGGAAAAACACCTAATAAGGAATAATACAAGCAATATGCTTGATATAAAGAATATATGTTATATGATATAAAAAAATTACATATATACATAAAAGTTGCTACATTCAACAACTACAGAATCCGCTTTCGAATGTTTATACAAATTGATCACATATGGGACCATAAAATAATTTTCAACAAATTTCAAAGGATGCATTTTATATAAGTTAACTTCTTTAGTCCTAGTGAAATTAAGTTGAAAAATAATAACAAAAAGATGACCTGAAAACTCGAATTCATCTAGAAATTAAAAAGGAAAACATGCTTTTATTATTTACTTGTTTGAGACAGGGTTTTGCTATGTTGCCCAAAATCATCTTTAACTCCTGGGCTCAAGCAATTCATCTACCTTAGCCTTCTGGGTAGCTAGAACTACCAGCTACCATACCTGGCAATTTTTTAAACATTTTTTTGTAGTGATGGGGTCTTTCTATGTTGCCTAGGCTGGTCTCAAACTCTTAGCCTCAAGTGGCTCTCCCACCTTGACCTCCCAAAGTGCTGGGATTATAGGAGTGAACCACCATGCCCAGTCTGAAAACAAATACTTTTTTTTCCTCTCATTTTATGTGGGGTACAATTCAGGGTTAGGTATACAAATGTTTATTATGGAGGTACCCTTGCTGATGAGGTGTGCCCTTCCCTCCCCTGGCGGTTTTCCTCAACTGCCAATCCCTTTCTTACATTATTATAATTGTTCACAGTCCACTTATGGGTGAGAACATATGGTACTCTGTTCTTTGTTTCTGTGATAGGTCACTGAGTATGATAGATTCTAAATCTATCCAAGTTGCTGCAAAGTCCATATGTTTGTCTTTCTTTATGACTGCATAATATTCCATTGTGTCTATGTACCACATTTTTTTTTTTTTTTTTT